TATTTATTAGTTTTCCTGTCTCACTAATTAATAGTTTTGAGCCAAATTTAAAGTTTAGATACGTGTATTTCTCCTACCAAATACATTTTAAAAATACATATATTTCTGCTACCAAACACATTTTAAAATATAGATACACATGAAGAGAAGCAAGTGGTATAGGAGGGAGGTGAGTGGAAGAGATTGTGTATCGCATATACATGTGAATCCTACTAATTACATATACCTGATACATAAGGAGAGAGACTAACGAAAGAGTCAGATACCTGTGAATACATTATATTTGAACCACAATGGTAATTTTAAAAATCCCAAAAAGAATATATAATTTACAATGAAATTTATGTTATTTTATCGTAAAATGAAGGCATTGGATACCAATCACATGCTCTTTCAGAATGGAGTGTGACACCGGCCTATCAGAACCCACTAAAATAATAGGGTCATGCTAAGTTTGACATTTTTGAGCCTGGACAGAGTCCGGCCCAATGATTAATCGGCCCGATGTGACCTACTTACACAACATAATACAGTCGAAATATATGAAAAATCTAAATAAGATAGAAAAACTCAGGATAAATTACAGAAAAAATAAAATTGAATCAAGGTTATAATTTAAATACAGTAACTTGAAACTTAAAAGAATTTTGGAAGACTCAAAGTTTGCTACATGACTCGAGGTGAGATCCAAATGGAAGTGTTGACAAGAATGAATAATAAGGTAAACACATGATAGCTACTATTTCAATTGACAATTCATAAAATTGTATAGTAATTATCCCAAATTTGTTTCAATTATTGTAAGTTTTTAATCTTAACAACTAGGAAGTCTCAATCTTAAAGGAATAATGATATACATCATCTACCTTTTTTTAATCTATATATGGTTGCAATGTGCTTATAAATTAGCTTAGAAATTTAACAACACTAAAGATAAATAATACTACTATAGAATTGGCTAATTGGTGTCCACCTTTCAATTAAAATATTCTAGTGAGGAAGTATTTTGTTTACGTTTGATTGGAGTGTCCCTATTCTACCATCAAATGTTTTGATAGTATAAATAAAATTACTAAATTCTTATTAGAGATTGAGTTCGAATCACATGGATCTTATTAGACGCAAATATGAATTAATTGAGGTACAGATACAGTGGAAAAATTTAATTAAAAAAATATGAGTATTACCTATTTGACCATGAAAATTTTCCACCTTTTTCGAAAAGAATTTTTTACTTTATTTGAAATTCGCTGTTTGATGATAAAAATTTCAAGTTTAACTTGAAGTTGTATTGAGAATTTGGAAAATACCCCACGTTCTTTTTTAAAAGATGCATCAATCGTTACTCCACGATTCAAAACTAACCGATACCCAAAACCCTATTTTTACTTCTTCACTTTTACAAATTTTCTTTGCAAAATTCTATCCAAGTTATTTTTTATTTATATACGATAATCCTCATTTAAATTAGTATTACATTTTATGTTTGAAACGTATTTCATAATTTTTTAAAAAATACAATCGATATCTAACTACTTATTGCACAACGTATGACCATATACAATCTTTAACTCCAATTCCAACTTTAAAAACTAAGTAATATCTTTTATTTTCATTTTTCATGATCAAACGCTCACTATAGTCGAAGATTAATTATAATTAAGAGATATGGTACTTTTTAAAAAAGAATATTCGAATTAAATATATAGTAATAGGGAACAGGAAAATAAAAAATAAAAGAATTATATGGGAGAGGCAACCATGTGAGCAAGTTGGCAAATAAGTAAGGCAAACCATGTCCCAACAGTTGTTTTCTTTTTATTTATATAACCTGCTGCCATCATGTTCCATGCTTTATTACTTATTACTATGCTCACTATACATTAAAATAATTATAATTTTTTTTTATATATTAAACTGTTCACCCTCCTTCTTTGTTTTTTTTTTTATATTTTTTTTAAAAAAAATTCTTTCCACCGTCCTTAAATCTCTGGATCACAAGATTCTATTAGCTCTAATTAAGGTCCCTAATTATTCTATAATAATGTTCAAGTGGATGGATACATTATCAAATGGTGTTACCATCTTACCAAATCTAAATTTGGTTATGTAATCAAGTAAATTTGACTTAAATATAACATACATTTCACGGATTAGGAAGAGTCACATGTAGAAATAAGTAGGTACACTATACTAAAAATAATCTCGATTATTAGTGGCAGTTACATTTTAGTATTCGTACTTTTAAAGTCTGTAACGATATTAAATCTAATGACAATTAACTGATGTTATTAAAAATTTTAGTATTCTTTATTAATGTGTTTCGCTAAAAACTATTTTTATCGTAATTTCGATGGATATAGAAATTGATCACAGCTGGCCTAACAAAACTTTAGAAGAAAAGCCACTGATTATAAGGGGAGGTGTTAATTGAAAAAAGAGAGTTTTATTTGCCTTGCTTTCAAGGTTGCCTTATTACAAGCAAACTTATGTGAATTTTCACATGACTTTGTCTGCTTTTTAGGTATTTGCATTAACTCATCACCACCTCACCCTCTATTTTTTATACCTCCACACTTCTAGGGCTAGATGCAAAGTTTGTACGAAAGGAAAATTTTGACGTTACGATACAAAATTATTACGTGGATAAAAAATTATATACTTATTTGAATAGCGAAAATAATCTCTCGAAAAATGTATTATAAGAATAATGATTCGGAAAGTACTCGCATCTATTATGGTACTGCCTCTAATATTTACTTTAGTCATTTGCATTTGGCCTTTTTAGAGAACAAATGTCATGTGGAAGGATGTGAAAATTAAAACTTTTTTTTTTTGTCATTATCAATGGGTCTCAAAAAATGCAATTAGTGGGAAAGCGTATTCTTAGTCATACACATTTCATATTATATTTTCCCTTCATCTTTTAATAAATCAAAGGTGAAATAAAAATTTAGTATACTCAAAGAGAAACTCTGACTCGACGAAAGGTTTAGTGTATCAATCTTATTTCAAATAGATTTTAGTTATTATTATCTCATACTTGTCAATTTTAGTTATTATTTTATGAAGTCTTATTTTTTATAAATTTAATTTTCTTTCAATAAAAAAGTTGACTTTTCGAAATAATAATTAATTAAGTAACATCTTCTTGCAAAAGAAAAAAAGGATATGGAAGTTTAATTCATTGCATGAAGCAAAATAATTTTCTGATCTAGAAAGATAAGTTCAAAAAAGGTGAAAAACGTGAATGTGTGTTGGAAAATAAGTCAAAAATTGTGAATTTTATTAATATATATATTATATATATATGCAATCTAACAATGGAAAAAGAATAGATTAAAAAAGGTAAATAATGTTTTATTAATAATTATGAGGCATTAACTTTTCTAAGCAAGTCATAATTCGTTTTAGCAGGAGAATTACTTTATTTTAGGTATACATATATGCCTTTCATGTTGAGTTAAATATAGCTTTCATTAGGTAAAATAAAGTAAAATTTTCCAAAGTGAAGAGGACTTATTAGCTATTTGATTTGATTTTTCTACAAAATTTACTTCTCTAATTCATCACAAACCAAAAATATATGAATATTAAATATTACATCAAAAAATGGTAAGAAGGAAGTCCTTATTGTTCTCTCATGGCAAATTATAGTATTAATAATGCAATAATTTTGCCTTATTAGCATAGTTAAATAAATAACTATTCCTAAAAAAAATCAAATTTCTTTTCACTAAAGTTGTAGAAGGCATTTTTAAAAATTAAATGCATGTTATTTTCAATTAAAATAATCAAATAACGTATAATAAATACTTTCAAAATAATTAAGTAAAACCAAAATAATGCTTCTCTAATTACTAATTATTCCTGTTTATAGAGTGTGTTTTTTCTTTAAAAAAAATTAAGCAGTATTAAAAATAATGCTTCTTTAATGTTACAATATAATAGGAAATGTTTGTCAACTTTACTCTTGAATTTTAAAGTAAAACTGTTTTGTGATTATTTTAAAAATAAAAATGAGATGGATGAAGTGTAAATTTCATTTCATATCAAATGGTGATTAATTAGAATATGCTATAAGTAGAAAGGAAAATCTCAAAATAAAAATAGATATAACTTTTATTGTTTTCTTTAATAAGGATGAAAAAATTAAAAAACAATCGTTAAAATAAAACGAAAGAAGTATATGTAAAATATAAATTTTTTTCCTATCGTCCAAAATTGGTAAAAATTAACCACCTTTCATAATTAAATCCAAGCTTTTGTCACCAACAAACCACCCCATATTTACTCACACTTCCAAACACACAAAAACCTTAATGACTTTTCCCCAAATCAAGAAACTCCCCTCATTAAAATTTGGCTTAGTAAAATAAATTTTATGAAATAAACTACTAGCTTTTATTGAAAACAAGGCTTTAAAACTTCACAGCCTTTGTTTTTTTCCACCTATCAATGCATTAACCAACTACCTCACACTTTCCACAATAAGACAAAAGCCAACTCTTCCCAAGTTGAAATATACTCTTAACTTACTAAATTATATATTACATTTATAAATTTACTTAAAAGAGCATGAAATAAATTAAACTAACACTTATTTTTTTTATAAAAAAATATTATTTTCGTCTATTTTTTTAATTTGTCTATTATATTAAAAATAAATATCTATTTATTATTTTATATCTATTTTGTCCAAATTATTAAGAATTAATTATTTTAATTCACATGTAAATATAATAACTTAAAATTATTTTTACCAAATCATATTCAAATATATAAGAACTAAGTAAATATGGATAGAAAGGAGTAGTGTTTGTGAGCCTTTTGCACTTTAATGTGACAAAAATTAGGGTTCTTTAAATTTTTTTTTTACTCAAAGTAGGTTAATCCATTTTTCATTAACTACACTCTTGTTTGACTATGTCCTTAATATACCTACCCCATCCCCAAAACTCAACCTCTTAGCTATTAGTCCACTTCCAATCTTTCATTATTCCTTTTTTTTTAAATTCTTCAAACCACATTCTTCTCCCTCCTCAAATTTAGTCTACACTCCAACCACACTCTCTCTCTCTCTCTTTCCAATCACCCGTTTCTTAATCAATCATCAATATTTTTTTTCTTCTTCTAAAACCAAAGGCAAAGAAACCCCTACAAAAGTTAAAGAAAAAAAAAATACAATAATTACTTGCTACTACCATTTTGTTCCAACAACAACCAGTGCCTCCAAGAAACCAGAAGATTCCCATAAATATAGGCTAAAGTTTCAATATCCTCATCTTCTTTTTTGTTTGTTTGATGATACCAATACCCTCATCATCACCTTCATAGCCACCCCTTTTCCTTTATTTTGCTTCTTATCTCCATTTCCACTATCAACAACCAAAAGGAAAACAAAAAAGAAGAGACTTTTTTTTCAAACCCTAACTCTCGCCTTTTTCAAGAAAATTTGGAGATTTCCTTTGAAAACAAGAAATAGTCAAGGTGGGTATAGCTCAAATATCCAAGATTTGGAAAGTGTAATGTCCCAAATGATGCACATTGACAATATCCCATCAACCCCAGGAAAGTTCAAGATGGAAAAGTCTCCTTACAATAGGCTAAGGATGCATTTTTCTCTAGCAAAGCTCACATTTTGGTCATTTGTATTCTTGGGGTTGATCTTTGTATTCTTCTACAGATCTCCAGCTTCTTCGTCCCCTGTTTCTTCAGATCTCTCAAGAAGATCTCTCAGAACCAGCTCCTACGGTGGCCCTGCTTGGGAAAAAAGGATTAAAGCTTCAGCTAAAGTAAGGTCACGTAATGGTATTTCTGTATTGGTTACTGGTGCTGCTGGCTTTGTAGGAACTCATGTTTCAGTTGCTCTTAAACGCCGTGGCGATGGCGTATTGGGTTTGGATAATTTCAATGATTATTATGACCCTTCCCTCAAAAGAGCACGACAAGCGCTCTTAGAGCGAACAGGGGTGTATGTTGTTGAGGGTGATATCAATGATGCCACCCTCTTGAAGAAACTTTTTGATATTGTTCCATTTACTCATGTAATGCATTTAGCTGCACAAGCAGGTGTGCGTTATGCCATGGAAAATCCTGGATCATATGTGCATAGTAACATTGCTGGTCTTGTTAATGTTCTTGAAATTTGTAAAAGTGTTAATCCTCAACCTGCTATTGTGTGGGCATCATCTAGTTCTGTATATGGATTGAATACTAAAGTACCTTTTTCAGAGAAGGATAGAACAGATCAGCCTGCTAGTCTTTATGCTGCAACTAAAAAGGCTGGTGAAGAAATTGCTCATACATATAATCATATATATGGGCTTTCATTAACTGGATTGAGATTTTTCACCGTTTACGGACCATGGGGTAGGCCAGACATGGCTTACTTCTTTTTCACAAGGGATATCTTGAAGGGAAAATCGATTCCTATATTCGAGGCTGCTAATCATGGCACGGTAGCTAGGGATTTTACCTACATTGATGATATAGTGAAAGGATGCTTGGCAGCATTGGATACTGCTGAGAAGAGCACTGGAAGTGGTGGGAAGAAGAAAGGCGCTGCTCAACTGCGGGTGTTCAATTTAGGCAACACATCTCCTGTGCCAGTTTCAGATCTTGTAGGCATTTTGGAGAGGTTGCTAAAGGTGAAGGCCAAGAGATTGGTGATGAAGTTGCCAAGGAATGGGGATGTGCCTTTTACTCATGCCAATATAAGTTCAGCCCACAAGGAGCTTGGATATAAGCCTACGACGGATCTACAGACGGGATTGAAGAAATTTGTCCGATGGTACCTCAATTACTATGGTAATGGAAAGAAGAGTGCCCAGTGATACATTCTTTGAATTGTGCGGTAGGATCATTCAATTCTTGTTCATTTTGATTCTATGATTGTTTTTTTTCAACACATATCCGATCAAATTGCCCCACTTTCTTGCTTTCTAAATCTTGATGATGCCATATATGGAGCACATCAGATCCCTCTGATGATGAAGTTTTGTGCTGAGCAATTTGATCTGTGTCAAATGGAACCTGAAATCAACTTTTATTACTTTTGGAATGTAATTGTTGTAGTTTGTTCAATTTAGGATTCAGGACTGATAGACCACTGCTGATTGATGGACAGCGGATGTATCATCTTTATTAAGTTCTAATAAGAGTAGCACATGATAGTTCCACATTTGATTTCTTGCATAGATTCATTTCGTTAGGACATTTCTGAGATCATCCTTTTACATGAATGTTGAGGTTGTATATTTCTTATTTTGGCGGTTAAACAAGATTCCATACTTTGTGATTCATATTTTGTGGTTTATTACTGGAAGTTGATTATTTAGATTCGTTATAATAGATTATTTCTGTTGTCCTTTTCCCTGTTTGTTATTTCTTTATGAATGAAAGAAAGGCAAGGAATAAGTAGCACCGTTAGAAACTGACAGTTAAGAAGCCTGAAGAGAACCCCGCAGTGCTCCAGCTCCTCTAGGTTCTATGTTCCTTTCCTTGAGTATGTGAGACGCTAGAGTTTAACCAGAAAATTAGTTAGTATAGGATCAAGGAGATATAATTTGCATTTCATCTACTTCTGCCTACACAATTTATGTCTGCAAGCTAAGAATGTTTCCTCCCTTCTGAAGATGGTCTTCAGAAGTAAAATGCGAACTCTAACTTCAAGAAGTGTGCTATATCAATGAACAACTAGTCTTTTTTGGAAATTAGCTTTTACAGTCTTTCTTATGTTGATACTGTACCAAACCTTGTTGATGGCTCATACAAATTATCTGGTCCATCTTTACCTTCAGATTTAGAAGTGAATTTATTGTGTAAATGTCCATTTCATTGACTATTTGGGTAGTTTCAGCACTAATTCTGTTTGAAGAAGTAGCAATACTATAGAATGGGCTCTGAGTATGCTTCTCTTAGAGTTACTAGCTACTGAGACTAATCCTATTTAGATATTATCATCAACTTAAGCTTTAGAAAGTTGCACTTCTGGTTTATGTGACGGGATGGATCAAGATGCTGATGCAGTAATGTAAATTTCTGATCTTTCATCTGTCAAATATAAAATGAGAATTTCCGAATTGGGCACTGAGGTGTGAAAGCTTGAGTGCTGATTTTACCTCTTCAACCCTGATCATAGGAAGTGGGAACTAAAACAGATAGCTAAATTGCTGGTCCTTTCATGAGGTTTATGTTGTATCAGAATTCATCGGAGCACTATAGTGGAAGCTATCCCCATATTTCATTCTGTTTCTAAGCATATGTACACACAATTGGGGGTTGTGATCCTCTTGGAGCCTGTGGCGAGCTTTTCTTGGATTTCATTTTCTTCCCATTTTAAACATTTGGAAATAACTTGGCATTTTTGGCATCTGCAGCAATGTACAGAAAAGTTTGTGCATCTTCCACGTTATTATTGTTCTTGATATTCTGTTTGCGGATCATGTCTAATTGCATGAGTTCTCGTTTAGCAGCCTGGATATTAGGAAAAGTATATCATACACTGGAGCATCTTGTTTTCAGTCTGAGAAGCTTATTAGTTAAAATGAACTTCAACCAAAAGACTTGTACTGGTAGTTTCTGTTTCCACTAGTAGGATGAAACTTTGACAGTTACGTGGACACAGCATTTGTTTCTTATCTATATGGTTGATTTAGCTTGCCATTCCCACTCTGCTTTGGGGTCTTGTTAGTAAGATATTGTTGCATCATTGCCTCTGTATTCGAAATGCAAGTTCGAGTTCGGTGTTTGATGTAAGGTTAAATGTGAAATGAGTAAAGTTGTTCAAGGAATTGCTTTGAAGTTATTTATGGGCATATCCTTAAGTTGAAAAAAGAAGTAGGTGAGGTTTGTTACAGTTATGACTTATGAGTGAAAATCATTTTTTCATTTGATATCTTACCAATACCAGTATTTACAGCATCTTAAATAGGGACTCATGCATTCACTGGTTGCAGTTCAATAAGGAATAATTATTAGCTTGTGGGATGCTTTTGCCAGTATTCTTTTCTTTGATTGAAAGTAAGCATTTGAATAACCTGCCTGTATTCTGAACCCTTCACTGTGAATATACAACCCGACCCAAGGTGGGAGTTCATTTTTGTGGTTACTAGATTTCACTACATAAGATGATGAATCCAATCACAATAAATGTTTTAAGACACTAAAAAGGGCGCCACTACTCTTCCTCCTGGGAACAGAGGGGCAAGTGTTAGTTGCAAGAAAGTAAGAAGAAAAAACAGATGAAAACGGGTGAAAAAGTGGCATATTCTATAATGACATAGGTCTTCTATCTGGCCATGACTCCATTTTTTGGAAGTACTTCACTGGCACCACACCATCAATACCCTCCGTCAAGATAACTCTGTTTTCAGAGATATAAAGCTTCATCCCATCTGAACCAATGCAAGAAAACTGTGAGAAACAACAAAAAAGTAGGATTTTCAAATATTCATGACTTCAGCACACATATCAACTTCTGAATATACTTTATTTGGTGATTAGTGATTGAATCTAGAGAAAGGACAGAGAAATAAGCTAAGACTTCACTTTGAGAAAAGAATATTCTTTCTTGACCAACTTATACTTTGATTCGTTCCATTATATTGGAATTTTCATAATACTTCAGAGAACTCGACTAGAATTCGACAAATCAAAACCAATTACCTTCCAAAGCTTTTCTCACATCAAGAAAGATGAGGACATTAACATCCCTCCTCATTCCTGTACAATAACAAAGAAACTTTAATCATCCAAGCAAGCCAAGACTGTTGAAGTTCAGGTAAATTGTCTAAATGCAAGAGTTCTCTGCTGATAGAGGAAGATCTGAAGGTAAAAAATGAACTACAATCCATAAGTTAACACATGGAGATCAGAAAGCCCAATATCTAAGAAATTGCAGGGAATGATTCGAAGTGCACCATGTCAGGATTCTACTAGATCAATAACTGTATCTTTGATGGTCCAGTAGAGAAAATTTGTGTGGAACGGGAATTATACATGCCAGGAGAAAAAAGTTTCAGAGTCTATGGATTTATGACAGTAGCATGTAATCCAATGAATCCGTAAATAATAAAAATAGCAATAGATTCAAGGTGCTATGAGATATCTTACCACTAATTACTTCACCGTCTGTTGGCAAGCCACATGAGAAATGAACATGTAACCTTTTCATGCGTTTGAGCCCATGCTCCAAAATTGATTCCAAATTCTTCTTGTAAGTGCCATGTACACAAACTGCACATTGCCGCAAATGAAAACCACAACTTCAAATATAGAGAGAAATTTTTTAAGGACACAGGGAGACATTGATGCTAAAATTGTTCTTCAGCACCAGACAAGGAACTGATATCATGTTATTATATACATAACTATCAATTGACGTCAAGATTAACCATTTTTCGTGTTGGTTTTATAATATTAAAGACGAGAGTTTAAAAATGAAGAACGATTCTCTGAACTTATATTGTACATTTCTACAAGGTCAAGATCACTCTTTGGTATTGGTACTACCATATATAACACTAGAGCTTGACAATGAAACCCGAACTTCTGTTAACATATATTAACGCTAATACTGAGCTTTATGTACATTATCCTGAAATGAAATTTACTGTTGGTAGCTGTTATTGCATTGTAAAAAGGCATGATCTTTTCAGGATAACTATCAACAATTTGAGATTTTGTCATACAAGTTAAGGTGGAAGGAAGATCCAAAATCATTCTCTTTCAGCCCAAATGTGATATTTTGCAAGTCTGTATCAAGGAAAAATATCAACTGTAATATATTCTTAACATTGTTAAGTCACTAAAAGTCTAAACTATATTTAACTAACTGTGTTGAATTTTGTTCCAAAATTGGTCAACAGTTGACCTTCAGATCTGAATATCACAGATAGAGGGAATAAACTATATTTAACTAACTGTGTTGAATTTTTTGGATCCCGTGACCTGTCAACATGTTGTTGAACAGGATGCTTAAAATGTATAAAACAGTTACATTTTAGCTCAGACAGACTCAAAATTAGAGTAATTTTTCATTACTCCAACTAGGAGTGTTTATAAGTTATTAAATGCACAAATTATCTTACCTGGAACTTCATCAGCTGAAACGATCGGTTTCAATAAGCTTTCAGTTTCAACTATCTGCAAAGTTGCAAACAAACTTAGAGAATAAATCTCCAACTCATAGACTATGATTTGATATTGGGTGATTACATATGTTTATTTTAGGTAGTGCCATTGTTTGCATAGTCAATGACCGTATAAGATTCAAATTGAGATAATGAAATATGTGCAGAGGCCAAAAAGAAGGATCAGTCAAATAGTAGGCCTACTAATTATCCAAGCACTTCGGAAGGAATCGTATTGGACGGAGTTCCACAACAAATTGATGGTAAAAGGGAGATGGATCGATATATAAAAGATATTTGGAGAATGTTAAAAGGAGAAAGAGCTTAAAGAGCCAGAACAGATTTGAGACACAATATAGAGGGGATATTAAAAGGACATCCCCATGGAACTCCAAACTCTCTCTCATCACTGCGATAACTTGCTATTGATGAATGTAAGACTACATCCATTTTCTTTGCAGAGTCAAATTCGTAGATTGATATAATGTCATAGACATACATTGAAGAAGAAAGCGGACAATCAAATGAAGTTTCTACAAAAACTAGAAACACAAGGTTGGATCCAGTCGTACAAAATAGAAGGAATGAAATACTTAGATATCAACTATGTTCAAGAAAAAAGAAGAAAGCTGAAGTAGTTGTATAGTTTTTAAAAGACCATATATTTGAACATCAACTATATTCAGCAAAAAAGCTGGATCTAGTTATTCAAAAATGAAATTTTGATGTCACACGCTCGGAATAAAGAAGAAGAACGACAAAGAAAGCTGGAGTTTCCTTCACTGGAGCAATATATTTTCAACTACTAATAAATCTGCTAACTCCACTAATGTGCTTTTAAAGGTATCCATGTTTGATCTCTCATTTCCCAGTCTTACATTCTCTCCTTTTCCTTCGCATTTTCATTTATGTTGAGAATTTACTTCTTCATTCATCAGATTTCTAGAATTTGTAAAACTATAGTAGAAGTATCCTCTAGAGGCTCTCCCTCTTAATGCCATAACTTATTGACAGACTATCCAACTAAAATTCCATCTGGAATATACAATGAAATAACACTACTCAACTTCAGGAGGAAAAAGTACCTTCACTGTATGGCCTTGGTTGGCACGTATCAGAAGCTCTCCATTTTCTTCCAAAAGGCCGAATCTTTGCTTGTTATCCTTTCG